TGGATGCTTTTTCTTCTTCTTGTCTGATTGCTGTGGCTAGGACTTCCAGTACTATGTTGAATAAAAGAGGTGAAAATGGACATCTCTGTCTTGTTCCAAATCTTAACGGGGGATGATTATAGTTTTGCTCATTGAGTATGATACTGGCAGTGGGTTTGTCATATATGGCCTTTGTTATGTTTAGGTATATTCCCTGTATTCCTACTTTGCTGAAAGTATTTATTGTAAATGGGTGCTGGATTTTATCAAAAGCTTTTTCTGCATCTATTGATACAGTCATGTGGTTTTTATCCTTCCTTTTGGTTTATGTAGTGAATCACATTTATTGATTTGCAAATGTTGGACCATCCTTGCATTCCCCAAATAAGTCCCACTTTGATCATGGTGTATGATCTTTTAACATATTACTGTATTTGGTTTGTTAATATTTTGTTGAGGATTTTAGCATCTCTATTCACTAGTGATATTTGCCTATAATTTTCTTTCTGTGTAGTGTCTTTATCTTGTTTTGGAATTAGAATAATGCTGGCCTTGTAAAATGAGTTTGGGAGCCTTCCCTCCTCTTGTATTTTATGAAATAGTTTGAAATGAAGAGGTGTTAGTTCTTCCCTGAATGTTTGGTAAAATTCACCTGTGAAGCCATCTAGTCCAGGGCTTTTGTTGAGAGTTTTTTCATTACTGCTTCAATTTCATTAGGTATAATCTGTCTATTCAGATTCTCTGATTTTTCCTGATTTAAATTTGAAGATTGTTTCTAGGAATTTACCCATTTTGTCCAGGTTGTGCAGTTTGTTGGCATATAATTGTTCATAATATTACAATGCTTTGTATTTCTTTACTGTCAGTTGTTATTTCTACTTCATTTCTGATTTTATTTATTTGGAGTCTCTTTTTTTCTTGATGAGTCTGGTTAAAGGTTTGTCAACTTGTTGATCTTTTCAAAGAACCAGCTCTTGGATTCATGAATCTTTTGTATCATTTTTTTAAGGCTCTTTCATTCATTTCTGCTCTGATCTTAATTATTTCCTTCCTTCTACTCACATTGGGCTTTGTTTGTTCCTTTTCAATTTCCTTTAAGTGTGAAGTTAGGTTGTTTATTTGAGCTTTTTCTTGTTTTTTGAGACAGGCCTGCAGTGCTATGAATTTCCCTCTTATCATTGCTTTCCCAGGGTTCCACAGATTTTGGATTGTTCACAAGATTTTTTAAGCAGCAGTCTTATTTCTAGACACTGTAGGGAAGGATGCTTCATCTCATATGGAGGGTTCAGAATGACTCAAGGATTCAATATTGTTAGTTTCATCTGGGTCCAAACAGATGTGTCCATTCACATGGGACACTTAATGAGACCAAATTCAACTCATAATTCAGCACCCTGTATAAGTTTGTTTTCAGGAATATCAGGCCTGCAGCTACAGACCGATGAGCTGAGAGTTAATGGAGTTGAGCTTGTAATTAAAAAAAATGTATATATATGTATATTTTAGAGAGAGAGGAGGGGAGAGACAGCATGAGGACATCAATGTGAGAGAGAAATATCGATCAGCCACCTCAAATATATGCTTCAACCAGGATTGAACCCAGAACCCAGTCACGTGCCCTGGCCAGGATTTGAACCTCCAACCTTCTGATGCATGGGATGATGCTCCAACCTCCTGAACCACCTCAGCCAAAGCTTGAGTTTGTAATTTTTTTCTTTGTAAGCACTCAAATAAACTCAAAAGAATCCACCCATTACCAGTCTTTATGGTCATCATTACTGGTAAAATGGTTAAGTGCACCAGCCACTTGGGCCCCCAAAGTTCAGGCTTCAGTTGGCATGTCTGGATTTATTGTGATACCCCTGCATGCCATGAATTACTAGAATCCCTTTTCCCATTTACAAGGAGCGTTGAGCTCAAACCCAAAGGCATGAACAAACCAATCTCCAAATCCTAGTTTTGTAGGTCTGTCTCCAGTTGCTACTCTGTAAGGTCTATCTCCAAGTCATCCAAATTTAGGTCCAATCAGGAGAGAGAAACTACATAGTACTAAGAACAGGACAGGTTTGATATAAAGAATTTAACATGGATATGAATAATGAAGGAATACTTAGAAGTAAAGAGAACTCAATATAGGAGTACTAGATATATTAATATAATAACAATATATAATCATTATTTCCAGGGCCAAGATGGAGTACTCAAATACCCCCTGCTCTTTGATAGAGCCTCATTCCCGCTCTAATGCCTTAAATCTAGACATTATTGGAGAGGTACGGATGTGGCCTCTTGAATAGAAGAGTCACTAGTGCCACACTCACAGAACTTGCTAGAAATCTATCCTCCAGTGTACTGGAGAAGGCCATTCACAGGAAGGTGTCTCACCAGAAGTATTCAGCTGTAAAAGTGTCCCAGGCCTGGGTGAGGATTGGGAGTTTCTGGGGAAGCTGCTGCCTATTGCATGCAGGGAGAAATGGTGAGCGTTGTTTAAGGGCCCGAGGCTAGAAACAACCCCCACAGCAGGAACCAGACCTGGAGAAGGTGAAGATCCAGATGCTGCAAGAGGCAGCCAATCAAGCATACCAGAATCAGGGTGCAAAATTTTTGTTCTTCAACGTTTCTGATGCCCTTTATTGACAAAACCTAAGGTGATATTGTGATATGGGAAATACATATATTTTGATATTCATCCCAGCTCCTGAAACAGCTCTGGAGTGATAAAGGTGAAAGGAGCATCTTTTATATGTAATACTTGTTTTTTGTCCCTAGTTTTTGAAGTAACTCTAGAGCCATAACAGGTGGAAAGAATGTTTTTTGTTATTCAGAGCCCCTAAGGAATTGGTGGGGCACAGGGGACAGGTTGCCAGAGGAACTGATCAAGTGATTAGAGATTGGAACTTTCAGCCTCACCCCTGACCTCAGAGAGGGTAGAGGAATGGGGATTGAATTAATCACCGATGGCCAGTTATCTAATCAATGCTATCCTTGTAATGAAGCTTTAAAAAAATTAACCAAAGGGGTTTTGAGAGCTCCCCAGTTGAACACATGGAGTTGCTGGGAGGGTGATTTTCCCAGACAGCATATGGACGCTCCCTGCCCCTTCCCCATACTTTGCCCTATGTGTCTCTGATTTGGCTGTTCTTGAATTGTATTTATAATAAATGGGTAATAATAGTGAAGTGCTTTCCTTGAGTTGTGTGAATTATTCTAGCAAATTATCAAACCTGAGGAGAGGGTGGTGGGGACTTCTGATTTATGGCAGATCACTCAGAAATGCAGAAGGCCCAAACTTGTGATTGACATCTTAACTGGGGGCCATCCTCCAGGACTGAGCCGTTAACCTATGGAACCTGATACTAACTCCAGGTAGATAGAATTGCAGACCACCCAGCTATTAAAGAATAGGTCAATGTTGGGGAAAAAAACCCAAACATTTTGTGGCAAGAAATATTAAGTAGTATAGGGGGGGAAAGTTTCTTTTTTCTACCTAATATGCCAACTAGCAATGGAAAAATATTTAAGCGCTCAGATTCATTTTCATAGAGCAAGTAAAAAGTGAATTTGGAGCTTAAGGATAATGCTGACCTCATAAAATGAATGAGGAAGAATCAGGAAATGTTTCCTCTCTTTTCTAAAAGAGTATGTTTAGGATTGGTATTGTCTTTTACCTAAAAGAAATCACTAAAGAAATCTGATCCTAGAGTTTTCTTTTGGGAAGATTTTTTAAATTGCAAATTTAACTTTTTGAGGAGAGGAGATAGAAATCTATTTGGGTTTTCTATTTCTTTTTTGTGTCTCTGACAGGCAAGATTCCAAAATGGTCCCCCAAATTTCCCTTCCTGATTTCCAGGACTGTGAATATAATATGTGTCATGGTCATGGTTATGTTTTATGTTACATGGTGAAAGGCATTTTGCAGATATAATTATTAGGGTTACTTGTCTGTTGACTGAATTAATCAAAGGGGAGATAATCTGGGAGGCCCAATATAATGACATGAGCTCTTTAAAAGCAAAGATTTTTTCAGCCCTGACCACTGGGGCTCAGTTGGCTGGAGCATCCAGAAGGATTCCTGGTCAGAGTACACGCCTGGAGTGTGGGCTTGGGTTCATTCCCTGTTATGGATGCATATGATCACCAGTCTGGGCACGTACTGGAGGCAACCAGTGGATGCTTCTATCTTGCATTGACGTTTCTCTCTCTCCCTACCTCTCTCTCTAAAAACAATGAAAAAAAAGAATGTCCTCAGGTGAGGATTAAAAAAAGATTTTTCCCAGGCTTGTAGCAAAAGAGGGAGTCAGATTTGCACATGAGGAGGATTTAATGTGTCATTGCTTGCATGAAAATGGACTGGGATACATCTTCATGATATCAGGGCACTTTACCCTGTTTTGTTTATTGAGGTATCCCAAGAGCCTTAAAAAAACAACAACAACAAAAAACCTGGCACAGTAAGAGTTTAACAAATGTATGTTGAATAAATGAATACGCTTTTTCCCCATATTTATCATCCAACAATATCTTTACCTAACACACTTAAACTATTTTGCATATATCCCCAAATATACTGCTCCATGGCTACCCCAAAGAAGGATAACCCAAAGTTTTGTGAATAATTGCATTCAATTCCAAGTGCAGAATCTCTGGGATCTTATCTCCATATTCTCTAAATTAAGTACTAGGAAACAAGAGTATGATACAGCATTGGACAAAATTCAAGTGAAGTCTATAACCTTTACTTAAGTAACTGGTTACAGGGCCATACTTGGTATCTGTTCTTTCTAAAAGATCCATTTTATATTCCCTTCACCTCAGTTAACCTAAATATTCTTGAGGGGTCTTAACACTTGGTGATCCCACCTATGTGTTGTTGTATGTGATCTTCCTCTTTTACTTTTTTCTTTTTTCTTTTGTTTTTCATTTAACCTTTAAAAAACATTTTTAAAAAATCAAAGTGTAACAGAAAAGTACAACTCCTTCCACATCTTCCTTTTCTTTTTCTTTTTCTTTTGTTTTTTTCACTTCATTTGAAACTAGACCACATGTTATAGAGTAGGCTACAAGCACCATGAGGCCAGCTTCAGTATTACTTTTTCTATTACTCCCACTAAAACCAGTGTTCAGATTCAATGGGAAACGGAACCAGAGGGCATAACCACTTCTACTTCTGATGATGATGAAGTCATTGGTACTGAATCTGTTTGCCCACCATAAACAACTGTAAAACTGGACAAAGTATAATGAGACAACATTTTGAAGCATTGTACAATAAGCATTACAAGAATATAATCCCTGCCTTGGCTGGTGTGGCTCAGTGGATTGGGTGCTGGCCTGCAAACCAAAGGGTCGCTGGTTCGATTCCCAGTCTAGGGAACATGCCTGTGTTGCGAGCCAGGTCCCCAGTAGGGGGCACATGAGAGGCAACTTCATATTGATACTGCTGTTTCTCTCCCTCTCCTCTCTCTTCTCTCTAAAAATAAATAAATAATATATTTTTTAAAAGAGTGTAATCCCTGAGAAAAGTGAAACACATGAGGGAAGCCTCATATTCATTCCACTTCTCTCCCTGTGGACAATACTGGCTGCAGCACAAGGAGATAGAGTCCCAGTCTCATCAGGTTTAAAAATCAAGGTGCTATGTTAGAATGACTGTATTCATCTCTGGAGGCTCTAGGAGAGAGTCCATTTCCTTGCTCATTTGCGTTGTTGGCAGATTTCATTTCTTTGTGCTTATGTAAGAGAGGTCCATGTTTACTTTCAGACCATAAACTGAGGAATGTTTCCAGCTTCTAGGGGCTACCAAGTTCCCTGCTTGTATCCCCCTTCCTCCATGTTCAAAGTCAGCAATGTCAGGTTGAGTCCTTGTCAAGTTGCATCTCTCTGAACCTTCTACTTCCTTCTTTTACTTTTAAGGACTCCTGTGATTAGCCTGGGCCCACATGGGTAATTCAGAATAATGTCTTAATTTTATTTTAAATGATTAGCAACTTTAACTCCTCCATGTAACATAACACATTCACAAGTTCTGGGTATAAAGACACGAACATGTTTTTTTAAAAATATTTTATTTATTTATTTTTAGAGAGAGGGGAAAGGAAGGAGAAAGAGCAGAAAAGAAACATCAATTGGACCAAACCCCGCAACCCAGGCATGTGCCCTGCCTGGGAATCAAACCATTGACCTTTTGCTTTGTGAGTCAGCAACCATCCAACTGAGCCACATGGTCAAGGCAAGATATGAACATCTTTGTGGGGGGCACTATTCTGCTTACCACACAGAATATGTTCTCTAACTGTAATGGAATCAAATTAGAAATTAATAAAAATGCAACAGGAAAATGAATGTATACTTGGAAATAAAACTTTAGCACTGATAAATGGATCAAAGAGAAAGTTTCAAAGGAAAACTTTAAAAATATGTAGAGTTGAATTAAAATGAAAATACAATATATCAATATATATAGGACTCATATAAGTAGTGGCAAAGGTAAACTTTTTAATGTAGTAGATTCATTGAGATATAATTTACTCTTTTAAAGTGTATATTTTGGCCCTGGCTGGTGTGGCTCAGTGCATTGTGCACCGGACTGCAAACAAAAGAATCTCTGGTTCAATTCCCAGTCAGGGCACATGCCTGGGTTGTGAGCCAGGTCCCCAGTAAGGGGCGCATGAGAGGCAACCACACATTGATGTTTCTCTCCCTCTCTCCCTCCCTTCCTTTCTGTCTAAAAATAAATTAAAAAAATAAAATCTTTAAAAAAAACAAAGTATACATTTCAGTGGTTTTTAGTATATTCACAGGGTTGTGCAACCGTCACCACTATCTAATTTAAGAATATTTTATCATCCCCAAAAGATACCCCATGCCTCTTTGCGGTTACTTCTCATTTCTCTCTGCCCCCAAGCCCTAGAAAACAGATCTACTTTCTGTTGTTATGGATTTGCCTATTCTTTACTTGCAAGTAAATGGAATCATAAAATATATAGCCTTTTGTGATTGTCTTCTTTCACTTCACATGATGTTTACAAGGTTCATCCATTTTGTAGCATATATCAGTATTTCGTTCCTTTTTTGGTCAAATAATATTCCATTATATAGATAGAACACACTTTGTTTTTCCATTCAACAACTGATGGACATTTAAGTAGTTACATTTTTTAAATTTATCATGAATAATGCTGTATATGAATATTCCTGTGCAGGTTTTTGTGTGAACATATTTGCAGTTCTCCTGGGTATATACCTCAGGGTGGAACTGCTGGGTTATATGGTAACGTATCATTTACTATTTTAAGTTAATATGTAATTGTTTTCTAAATTAGCTACAATATTTTATAATCCCATGAAAGAAAAAATTATACACTAAGTGCTGTTTACATTATTAAAGAGGAAAGGTCTCAAATCAATAATCTAAGTTCTCTTCCTCAAGCAACTAGAAAACAAAAAGCAGAATGAAACCAAAAAAAATCAGAAAGAAGGAAATAAAAATAAGGACAGAAATCACTGAAAATGCAAACAATAGAGAAATTAATGGAAAAAAGTACTAAAAAATAAATCAATTGATAAACCTTTAGCAAGATTGACAAAGATAGCCCTGACTGGTGTGGCTCAGTGGGTTGGGCACCCAAATAACTGATGAAACATTATTCCTGGGTGTGCCTGTGAGCGTATTTCTGGAATTATTAGCATTTGAATTGGTAGATTTAGTAAAGAAGATTGCCCTCATGAATGTGGGTGGGTATCAAGGATTCAAGGCCTGAATAGAATAATAAAGTAGAGGAAGGATGAACTTGTTCTCTGCCTGTGCGGGGATATCCATCTCCTCTTGTCCTTGGACATGTTTGCTCCTGGTTCTCAGGCCTTTGGACTTGAACTGCGATTTAACCATTAGTTCTTCTGGTTCTCAGGTCTTCAGGTTTGGACTGGAACTATACCACCAGCTTTTCTGTGCCTCTATCTTGCAGATGAAGATCATGGGACTTCTCAGCTTCCATAATCATGTAAAACAATTTCTCATAATAAATCTCTTTGTATACGTCCACATATATCCTATTGGTTGGTTTGTTTCTCTGGAGAACCCCAATACAGTACTAAAGCTGAACCGATATAAACTAGATCATCTAGGTAGTCCTTCCTTTAACTATGAAAGGAGTTGAATTCACAACTACAAAACCTGATAAAGAAGTCTTCATGCTCATATTGTTTCACTGGAGAGTTCTCTGAATCTCCCCAAGAAAATGGAAGAGAAGGTAAAAATTCCCAGCTCATTTTATGAAGGCATTATTATTGTGATGCCAAAACCAGACAAAACATTAAACTATAAACTAAATCTCTCACAAAGTAAGGCATAAACATACTCAATATTAGGGAGTCAAATCAACAATATACAAAATGGATTATGCACCACAACCAAGTGAGATTTTTTCAGTAATACAAGACTGGCTTAATATTCAAGAATCAATTAAAGTAATCCACTACTGTATCAACAGACTAAGGAATAAAATCATATAATCGTATCAATTGACACATATAAGCTTACTCTAAAATTTGTATGGAAAGGCATAGGCTCTAAAGAACCTGAAACAAATTTTAAAAACCAAAATGGGAGAAATCAATGTACTTGATTTTAAACCTTAGTATATAGTTAGCGTAATCAAGACAATGTGGTATTGGTGAAGGGATAGCCACATAGATCAATGGAACAGAATAGAGAACTCAGAAATAAACCCACACAAATCTGCCCAAATGATTTTTGACAATGACATAAAAATAATTCAGTGGAGGAAAAACAGCCTTTTCAACAAATGATGCTGACACAATTGGACATCTATAGGCAAAAAAAAAAAAAATAACCTTGACAAATATAAATCTCACACCTTATACAAAAAATGAATTCCAAATGAATTTCAGACAAATATGATATGTAAAACTATAAAACTTTCAGAAAAAAACATATGATACAATCTTTCGGACCTAGGACTAAAAGAGAAGAGTTTTTGACTTGACATCAAAGCACAATCCATAAAGGAAAAAAATAGATCAATTAGACCTCATCAAAATAAAAAGCTTTTGCTCTAAAAAAAGATTAAGCATATGAAAACACTAGCTAAAAACTTGGATAAAATATTTTCAAAATACATACCTGGCAAAGGCCTTGTATCTAGAATGTATAAAGAACTCTCAAAATTTAAAAGTAAAACAATCTAATTAAAAATTGAACAAAAGATATGAACAGATATTTCACTGAAAATAACAGCAGGTGGTCAGTAAGCACATGATAAGATGGCCAATATCATTAGCTATTAGGTACATACAAATTAAAACTACAGTAAGATACTACTATATACCTATGAGGTTGGCAACCATCAAAAATTATGATAATATTGAATACTGGTGAGAATAAACCAAAACTGGATTACTCATACATTTTTAGTGATAGTGTAAAATGGTAGAGCCACTCTGGAAAACATTTTAATAGTTTCTTTAAAAACTACTTACATTATAATCCAGCAAGTGAAATTTTGGCCACTTATCCCAGAGAAATGAAAAGTTATATTCACAGTAAACCCATATATGAATGTTTAAAGCAGCTTTATTCATAATTGCCTCAAACTGTCAATAATCCAAATGCACTTCAGTGGGTGAATGCTTAAACAAAATGTGCTACATCCATACCATGGAATATTATGTAGCAGTAAAGAATGAATTATCCATACCTAGATAAGTGTTCAGATCATTTTGCAGTGAAAAAAGTCAATCTTGAAAGATTTCATAATTAATGACTTCATTTATATAACATTCTTAAAATCTTAAAGTTATAGAAATGGCAGACAGATTAGTTGTTACCAAGGATTGGGGATTAGGCCATGAAAACTATGGAGCATATGGCGGTAAGATTGCATGAAAGGGCCTCCTGATGATGGGGCAGTTGTACATTTCGATTGTGGTGATGGTTCTGTGAATATACACATGTAATAAATATGTAAACTAGTATCTGTCTTCTCATCAGAAGCAATGGAAACCAGATGGTAGTGGGATGAGACTCAAAGAATTAAAAGAAAAATCTGTCAACCAATAGTCCCTATATCCACAAAAACTATTCTTCAAAATTGAAGAGAGTTGCTAAGAGAGTAGATGTTAAAAACTCTCAT